TAATTTTAGGACCAAATAATATAAAACATGTTTTACTTAAATTGATACGTAGATTATTTGAGACAACCCAATCGTAAACAAAATTTAGTTCGTAGTTAATTACCGAAACAAGTACATTAAAATCCGAGTGAGAATAGAGAAGAGTAGTGTCATCAGCAAATAAAATAAATTTTAAAATGTTGGAAGAGTAAACAAAATCATTAATATAAATATTAAAAAGTAAAGGGCCCAAAATAGAACCTTGAGGAACATCCGATTTAACAGGAGACAACGAAGACATGGAACTACCAATAGAAACAAATTGAGAGCAATCATTTAAATATGAAGAGAACCAATTATAAGCTAAACCACGAATACCAAATGAATATAACTTGTACAATAAAAAAATACTGTGATCTAAAGAGTCAAAAGCCTTGCAAAGATCTATAAAAACCCCAATAGAATATTTTTTAGATTCGAGTGCATGAGAAACAAAATTAATAACGTCTGAAACAGCAAACTCAGTTGACAACTTTTCACGAAAACCATATTGATTTAAACAAATAATATTATGATAATTTAAAAATTTATTAAGACGATTTAAAATAATTTTTTCAATTAATTTTGACAAACTAGAAAGAACAGAGATAGGGCGATAATTATTAATAGAATGACGGTCACCAGATTTAAATAAAGGCAGCACTTTAGAAATTTTCAGACAATTAGGGAAGTGACCAGTTTTAAAAGATGAATTAACTAAATGAAGCAACGGAAATAAGACACTTTGAAAAATATTTTTTAATAAAAAGTTTGAAATAAAATCATTACCACAACTATATGTGTTATCAAAATTTTTTACAACATCAATAATTTCAAATGGCAGACATTCAAACAAGACGAAAGAATTTGAGATACTAGGAGAAAAAAATTTTTAAAGTTACATTTAGGATCAGATGAATTTGAAACATTTTGGTTGTTTAAAGACGAAAAATGATTATTAAAATGATTACATAATAAGAAATCATCATTGATAATTTGATCATTGACAATAATATTAAGAGGTGATGAATGCTCGATGTATGTATGTATGTATGTATGTATGTATTTATGTATGTATGTATGTATGTATGTATGTATGTATGTATGTATGTATGTATGTATGTATGTATGTATGTATGTATGTATGTATGTATGTATGTATGTATGTATGTATGTATGTATGTATGTATGTATGTATGTATGTATGTATGTATGTATGTATGTATGTATGTATGTATGTATGTATGTATGTATGTATGTATGTATGTATGTATGTATGTATGTATGTATGTATGTATGTATGTATGTATGTATGTATGTATGTATGTATGTATGTATGTATGTATGTATGTATGTATGTATGTATGTATGTATGTATGTATGTATGTATGTATGTATGTATGTATGTATGTATATGTATGTATGTATGTATGATACAACGAACAAACATGGCTGACAAAAATTCGTTAAATACTGTTAACGATACTCGCAGCAATCTCGTAGAAAAAACCTGCAAACTATATGACGATATAAATCAAATAAATGCTTTGTATAACTCCATCAGCCGCAACGGAATTAACGACAATTTGTTTTTCAAACTAATGCATTTAAACATTAGAAGTTTAGTTCACAAATCAGAAGACTTACTCGATTATTTAAACAACTTTTCTTTTAAATATAACATTATTGGTATAAGTGAAACGTGGATGAATGATGACAATATCAAGTTAATAAATATTACTGGTTATGATTTTGTTGGTAAAAATCGGTCTGGTAAGCACGGTGGTGGAATCGGTTTGTATATTGATAACGGAATTACGTATAAAACAAGAGACGACATCAATAGCATTAGCAGCATAGAATTATTCAGCATAGAAATAACAAACGATTGTTCCAATAAAAATGCAATAATTGTAATAACATATCGGCCTCCTACCTATGACGCAAATATGTATCTTCAACAAATCGAACCGGTACTACAAATCATAAGTCTAGAGAACAAATTAGTTTATCTGATCGGTGACATGAACATCAATTTACTTGATGCTGATTCAAATGCCAGCAAATTCCAACTTCAACGATTATTAACATCATACAACCTATCAACTTTAATAACAACCCCAACAAGAATAAGTTTAAATAAAAATTCAGTCATTGATAACATTTTCACGAGCGAACCAAATGCAGTAGAATTATGTGGTACACAGGTATGTGATCTTTCGGACCACATACCAATTTTTATAATTGTAAATATGAAGTCTAACAGAATCAAGAACCATTTTCTGAAGGAGAAATTATACTCGTTTACAAGTGAACGAATCAACAGACTGAACGAATATTTAATAAACATGGACTGGTCAAACGTTTTAAACTGTGAGAATGTAAATGTCGGGTTTCAACGATTCATAGAGATTTTTGTAAAGAACTTCAACGAATGCTGTCGTATTTCATCAGCAAGAAAAATTAAAAAAATATCACGTGATAAACTTTGGATAACTGATGATCTTAAAATAATGTTAAATAGAAAAACCAAACTGTATACAAAATATCTAAAAAATCCGAATATTGAAAATCTAATTGAATTAAAGTCAATTAGACAATCTTGCATCAAATTTTAAAATAAACTAAGAAAACAATACTACCGCGACATCATAGAAAAGAACATAAAAGATAACAGAAGAACATGGTCGATTATTAAGAACATTATCAGCACAAATAAAATCACCAATACCGTCACATCAAACAGTGAAATTGTTCGTTCTCCTGCGGACGCCTTAAACGATTATTTCACCGGTATAGCTATAAAACTAGGTTCGTCTTTCAACAATTCAACACTCTAGAAAAATCACCTCACTAATAAACTTCAAAACTCGTTCTTCTGTCTGTCGACCTCAAGCGATGAAATAATTGCAACAACCAGACTTCTCAAACCAAAAACAACCAGTGGATGGGATGGCATTCCTATGAAAATAATAAAATCTACCATACATTCAACAGCTCACATTTTGGAATTCCTAATTAACCTTTCTTTCAACTCCGGCACATTCCCACGATGTTTCAAAGTCTCAAAAATTGTACCGATTAAAAAGGATGAGGGATGCAATGATTTAACTAATTTTCGACCCGTTGCTCTTTTATCAAATTTTTCGAAAATAATAGAAAAAATAATGTACAAAAGACTAAATATCTTCTTCAAAAAAAATTCCATAATTAACGATTCACAATTTGGATTTCGAGAGAAGTACTCGACTGAGCTGGCAATAATAGAATTGATCAGAAAAATAGGGATCGCAGCAGAAGACAAAAAATACATCGTAGGCACGTGCCTTGATCTCTCGAAGGCATTCGATTGCATCAACCACAACATCTTGCTGGCGAAACTAGACCATTATGGAATACGTGGCTCGCAACTGATATGGTTCAGAAGTTACTTATCGGAGAGAAGTCAATTTGTTAGCTGGCAGGGTACATGCTCGAGCGAAAAATTAAACCAAATTGGAGTACCTCAGGGCAGTATTTTGGGTCCATTGCTATTCATTGTCTTCATCAACGATCTCCCGAAAGTTTCAACATTCTTTGATTACATTTGCTTCGCAGATGATACTAATCTATTCAGTACAGGCAAAAACATCGATGAACTCATCTTGAAGACTAATAGTAAAATTAAAAAGGTCGTCTCATGGTTTGAATGTAATATGTTGACATTGAATAGCAGAAAAACTCAAATGATTATTTTTGGCCCAGTCCAATATTTAAACTACAAGGAGCCATATAAGATCGTAATAAATAATTTGGATATTCTCGAAAGCAAAACTGTTAAATTTTTAGGAGTAATATTGGATCAAAAATTATCGTTTCAACAACATGTTCGATATGTTTGCACAAAACTAGCAAGATCAATTGGTCTATTAAATAAAATAAAATTTTTCTTGCCTAAAAGAATTCTTAACATGCTATATAAAGCCATCTGTACTCCATATATCTCATACTGCAATACAGTCTGGTCAAGCGCCTATCCATCTACAACAAATCCAATATGAATAATCATGAAGAGAGCGATGCGAACAATCACACTTTCCAAAGCTCAATCCCATTCACAACCGCTATTCGCCACGACAAGCAATCTGACTTTCGATCAAATGAGTACATATCACGCGACAAAATTCATCGACAAACAATTGACTGGTAAACTACTTCCTATTTTTGACGGTTATTATAAACGAACGAAGAATCAAAGGTGCATCAATTTCATCTGTTCCAACAAATCAAAAACGAAAATTTTACATCAACACATCATTTGCAGAGGACCCAGAATTTGGAATTTTTTATTAAATAAAGGATTTAATTATGACAGATCGAACATGCAGAACTTTAACTATCATTTGAAAGCATTTATTAGTTTGATTAATTAAAATCACTAGTTTTAAGAATATAAATTACATTTTTATAAAATATTTATGACATCATGTATGCACAGTTGTATGTATGTGTGTGTGCTGACGTGTACGTAGATATTTTTATATACGTATGTGATCCTATTCTCTTCTATCTATAGCTTATATAGATAGATTCAATCAGGTATTCTATATGCAGTTTTGTATATAGAGAAATATAGACCTAACTTATTATTAGGATCAATTAGTAACACCTCAAAGCTAATACATTCCATTTAGAGAATCTGAATTTTTTTGTGGTGCACGATGATAATATTTTTATGAACAGTTAGTAACACCGTAAATATAATATACTCCAATTAGAGAATCTGAAGTTTTTTGTGGTACTCGATAATTTTATTTTTACGAACAACTA